AAACTTAAATAAGTTTGCCATCTTTCATAATGTTTCATAAATTATATTTTCTAGATAAATAAATGATACCTAATTATACTTAAATATATATTAGCACGAGAATTATAATGTAAAGGTGTAAAGGTGTAGAATAATAATAATAGGTAATTTTTATCTTTAACTAATATACTTGCTAATGATTTTTTTAATTTTCTTTTATTTAAAGATAGAAAGCTTCATTATCGAAAGTTCATTTCATTTAAAGTGAAAACGACATAAAACAGATAATATTCTAACGCATAAAATTCAAGTGATGAGCCCATTGAACATGAAAATTGTTTGTGATCGTTAATAATAATTGATTCCAAGCAACTTAATTTCAGATGAGTAAGCAAAGATGAGGGGAAGGCAACGGGGAACCACCCCTTTATTTCACCCACGAAAGTTCATGATATGAGCAATAGCTGCGAGGCCTCGGATGATGAGCTTCGTGATCCGGATGGCACCCGGCGCATCTTCTCGTCCGGGGAGGAATGTGTGAAATCAGCTACCGGGCATGTAGACGTGACTCATCAGGCTTTACATGCGAAATGTGCTACTGGTGAAAAACAAAAACTTAATAACCGCAAACCATACAACATAGCTACATGGAATGTCCGTGGTCTTTTACAACCGGGCAAACAAGCTATTCTGGAGAAGGAACTGGAACGAACCAATATCTCTGTGGCCGGGCTCTCTGAACTTCACTTCCGCAACGAGGGGCACTACATAACTAATTTGGGACATTTCATGTACTTTTCCGGCAACACTAACAAAAGTATCAATGGTGTTGGCTTCTGGGTTTCAAAATCTCTTTCTCCTTATATACTGGGATGTCAAGCTATCAGTGATCGTATAATTTCCTTAAAACTAAATGGATCTCCCTCTATTGTACATTTGATCCAGGTCTATGCGCCTACCTCAACTGCTGATGATGATACAACTGAATCTTTTTTCAACGAGCTGGAATCATATCTGCAAAATATCCCAAATAAAGAAATCGCTATCATCATGGGTGATTTAAACTCAAAAATCGGTGTTACTACGGCTGACGAACATATACGAAATATTGTGGGTAGATATGGAATAGGTGAACGCAATTCAAGAGGAGACCGCCTTATCCAGTTCTGCGTTGACAATGACTTGACAATAATGAACTCTATGTATAGGCACCACCCCAGAAGATTGTACACTTGGTCTCACCTAATGGACGACACCGAAATCAGATCGATTACATAATGATTAAACATCGCTGGAAAACATCTATTAGCCAATGTAAAACACGACCTAGCGCTGACTGCGGCTCTGACCACCAACTTCTTGTTGCAACGCTAAAGCAAAAATTCAAGGCATGTGCTAGGATCCGAAACAAGAGGATATCAAAAATAAAAGATACACAACAATTTAAAATCCAATGTAATGAAAGATTCGAAAATATTTTACCAACTATCGTCACTCATGATTCCGAAAAGATTTGGTTATCTTTTAAAAATACCTTGATACAGACCTTGACTGACTGCGAGGCACAGTCTAATGCCGTCTCAACCGGACCAAAAAAAGTGTGGATGTATGCAGATACTTTTGACCTCGTTGAAGAACGTAGAAAACTTAAAATTGCTGGAATCGAGAACCCTGTCAGGAATTCCCAGTACCGACAGCTATCTAGAGCTATTCAGGCTGCTTGTAGACGAGACAAAAACAAGCATATAGAGAAAATCTGCAGAGAAATTCAACTACACGCCGACACAAATAACACCAAAGAACTCTTTGATAAAGTCAGACAACTCACACGTAAATTCAAGCAGAAATCTTGGTCTATCAAAGATGATGAAGGTAATGTACAGACGGATTTGGACAAGGTTATTGATGTTTGGAGGGCGTATTGTAAGTCTTTATACGCCAATATGGACCAGATGCCAGCGGACGCCCCGTTTGTACCTGACTGCCAGACCTCCACTTTCCATTCTCCTTCAACAGAGACACACCACACTAGTTTTGAGTCTGAACCTGACATACTTTTTTCCGAGGTGGAATTCGCTTTAAAAAGACTTAAGTTAAACAAAGCAGCAGGATATGATCTCATTACTGCAGACGTCTTGAAGCATCTTCCGGAATGTGGAGTGAAAATATTACATCGATTGTGCAATGAAATATGGCACACAGGCGTCTGGCCTGAGGATTGGAGAAAGACCATAATCATACCTCTTCATAAGAAAGGTTCAACAAATAATTGTAACAACTACAGGCTATTAGCTCTAATATCACACGCCAGTAAGGTGATCCTCTACATACTGCAACGGCGTCTAGAAAACTTCATAAGTTGGCAAATAGCACCTGAGCAGGCTGAATTTGTAAAGGGCAGAGGTACTAGAGAACAAATCCTTAATGTACGAAACATCATAGAAAAAGCCAGAGAATAATAGATCCCGATATTTATATGTTTCGTCGATTATACAAAGTCTAAAGAAAATGCAAAAAAGTATTTTTGAAGTGTGTATATTTTATGCAATTCCTAGCTGAGCGCTTTCGGCTTTACAAAGCCATCATCAGAGCTATGGTCAATTTTTTAAATACCACTACAAAGGAGAGATCTCATTTCCTTAAATTTCAAAAATATGATTTTGTAGGAGTTGGAATTATTAAAACATATAAAAAACATATAAAAAGTCGACACTGGACTTCACAAACACGTTAAAAAATTGAAAAAATTTTTGTCATGGTACGGGTTTAAAACCCGACCATTGATTCATGTGAGGACGTAGACTGAATAGTCTACGTCCTATTCAGTCTACGTCCTCACATGAATCAATGGTCGGGTTTTAAACCCGTACCATGACAAAAATTTTTTCAATTTTTTAACGTGTTTGTGAAGTCCAGTGTCGACTTTTTATATGTTTTTTATATGTTTTAATAATTCCAACTCCTACAAAATCATATTTTTGAAATTTAAGGAAATGAGATCTCTCCTTTGTAGTGGTATTTAAAAAATTGACCATAGCTCTGATGATGGCTTTGTAAAGCCGAAAGCGCTCAGCTAGGAATTGCATAAAATATACACACTTCAAAAATACTTTTTTGCATTTTCTTTAGACTTGTCATAAGTGTGTACAAAAAAATATCAGTCTTTTGATTGATTATACAAAGGCCTTTGATAATGTTAGATGGGACAAACTATGGAACATATTGACGACAATGGGTGTACCTAAACACTTGACTCACCTTATTAGCAAACTGTATCAAGATAACCTGGCATATATTCGAATGGACGGATATCTGTCTGACAAATGCACTTTGGAGAAGGGAGTACGCCAAGGATGCGTTTTATCTCCCTTATTATTTAACATCTATTCGGAGTTCATAATGCGCAGAGTTTTGGATGGTTGGGAGGGAGGAGTAAACCTAGGTGGTGTTAAGATATCTAACTTGCGTTTCGCAGACGACACTACACTTCTAGCCTCTACTCCAGAAGAAATTACTAGATTATTAAAAAAACTCGAGGTAGAAAGTGCTAAATTTGGACTCATGGTTAACTACAACAAAACCAAAATCATGGTTATTGATCGCCAACAACAGTTTCCTGAAACACAAACTATTGCGGGATGCGAGGTAGTCTCATCTATGATATATCTTGGAGCTCTAGTTAACAACACAGGCAGTTGTGAATCCGAAATTAGAAGACGCATTCAACTAGCAAGAGCAGCAATGAGTGAACTAAACGGGGTCTGGCGTGATCGTCACATTACTATGACAAACAAAAAGAGACTCGTTTCAACTCTGGTCTTTTCCATATTTTACTATGCATGCGAGACATGGACAGTCAAAGAATCAGATCGACGACGTATAGACGCCTTTGAAATGTGGACATGGAGACGCCTGCTTCGAATTCCATTGACGGCTCGCCGTACAAATATCTCGGTTCTGGATGAAATTAAACCGGAGTTCTTTGGTTCTTTGGCCATATCCATCGAAGTGATCACAAAATGGAGCGGTTGGTGGTCCAAGGAAGGCCTCAGACTCAACGCCAACGCGGAAGATCTCCACAGCGATGGACATTACTAAAAAGCTTCTCAATAAATAGTATACTGAGGCAATACATATAACTGATGACCGCGAGCAGTGGAGAAATATTATCAATCAAACTGTCCGAGCTGCTGAAGCCCAATTATGAACCACAACATATCTACTAAGATGTTAATGACTGTGATGATGAAGCAAAGATGACTAATTCGTGTATAGCATTTTTTTTTAAACGAAGCATTGTGTAGAAATTTTAATTTTAACAATTTATTTGCACTGATAGGTAACGACTCAGTCATTAGGTGTTGCTCATTACTGTAATACTGCGGTCGACTGGATCATCCCACCAGCCTCTGGCCAAATTTCTTACCTATATATTTTATAACAGTTGATTATCAACATCATTAAAGCTTTCCTTGTCCACTGCGGAACATAGATCCCCCTCATAATTTTCCATCTGTTACGATTTTGTGCCTATTGCATCCAGTTTTTCTGGCAACGTTTTAGATAGTTAGTCTATCGTATTCGTGAACGGCCTCTACTTCGACAGGCATCATTTCTCAGTATACGCTTTGTCTACTTGCTATCTGTCATTTTCTGTTTAGTGTTTCTATTCGCTCTAGAACATCCACTTATGATCTTCGTTGTAGCCGGCGGTTTGGGATCTTGTCTCATAGAGAAACGAGGAGCATTGCACGCTCCTCGTTTTTTGAGCCACACGGATCTTTTGCACTGTTCTCCTTGAAATAGTCAACAAACTATTGTTTAACAAACACATCGATCATATTTGTTTCTTTTAAGACATAATTCCGTCAGTCTTATACGACGGAGAAGCTCAACCGTTTGATTATTTATTTCTAAGCATATATTTTCATTAGCTACAATATTTGTTATCATCTGAGTTTTAGACATTAAATATTTTTTAAATAAAAAAAAGATAAAGACTATAAAATGTGGCTACTTACACGGCATTGATGTCTGCTCCATGGTTTAATAAAAATAAGGCCATCGAGGAATTTTGTTTAATTATTGCTTGATGTAAAAGCGTAAAATCTTTCCCGTTTCTTATATTAATGTCAGCTTTACCCTAAAAAAATTAATTTTCCACTTGTTACTATATAAAGCACATGGTGCCATGGTATAATTTATTATAGTTGTTCTCATGGCCTTTTTTCAGTGACCTATTTCTTTTTAATTCTGGGTATTAGAAAGATATAACGAGATAAAATTCACGTATACCATTTTTCAAAGTAAAACACTTGCACATCACGATTTATACAAACTGACGTCACTTGTATTTAAAATCTACAGAACATCAACCTTAGAGTTAAAATTTTCCTAACACAGCTAATAATACGAAACCCATACGGAACTGCTCGGTCTTTCATAGGCGTCAACATGGTGTAATAATCAGAAAAATGTAATCATCATTATATTGGAAATTTTAGAAGTATATTGATTAAACAACCAAAAACATTTATTATTATTAATATAAATTTTATGAAATAACTCTTTAAGTCTAATATTCCACAAAATAATAATTAGACAATTGTAGGAAACTGATACGGAAATATTTCAAATTTTATTGACAGTTTAGCGTGTGGCAAAAGTGTAAAGTGTAAATGTAAAGTGTTGCCGTTTTTTAGAGTAGGAATTTTGTTTATGTTTTGATTTCTTTCACAATTTGATGATAATATAATACATAATAATAAATTGTATTTATAAATACATATTAAATTTAGATTAATAACTTTAAAAACCAATTATTGTTGTGTATTGTGATTGTGATATGACAAAACAAATAAATAATCTGTAGAAAGCTGATAAGCTTTCATATAAGATAGATTATTTTGAACAAGAAATAATGGCAGGACGTTTTTACGATTAAAGCCCTAAAATAGGTAAGTTTAAAATTTAGAATATATAATAAGTGAATTTACTGTTAGTATAATAGTTTGACAAATAGTTGACATTTTAAAAATTCCTCACTTAGTAACTATTCTGATGTTTTGGCAACGCTGTGGGGTTCTGACGACGTAAATCTTGAATGACATGCAAGCTTTTTTATGTGAAAAATGCTGTAAGTCACTATTTAGATATTCATATATTTTTAATATATATTTATATATAGATAGGGCTATAGATGCAATAGTGAACTAAACTCAATTTATGGCGTTTCTTTTGTGATTTTCTGAATAAACTAACTCTCTGAGAAGAGACTGGTATTCTTTAGGTGATTAAATAATAAATTATATTTTGCTAATTTTGAATTTCAAAGTTGCGCCACCGCATCCGAAGAGCGAAATGTCACAATGTCAAAAATGTCAACTTTTAGTCACACATATAATTATTGCCCCCTGATTCCACACCGTGCAAAATGCATAGGATCATGTATCGTCTCAATGTCCAAAATAAAAGGACAAAAATATATTCAGGTACAAGAATGTTTACAGTATAAAGAGCTCAAGAAAAGAAAATTTCTAACGCAAATTTGTAGCGAAATAAACGATACATAATTGGGTAACAATGCAAATAGCTACCACGGTTGGGCTAGATTAAAATGAGCTTAATGGAAGATGAAAAATGCTCTGATCATTGGTAAAAGTGTCTTGATCGGGGTTCGATAGAGCTAGACTACAGGAGATTCACGAGTGAGGTAAATATGGAAACATGTAAGAGAAGAAACTTTGGGCACCACCTTAATTTTTAAGGAATAGGGAAAGCTAGTAAATACGAGAATGGACAAAAAATAAGATAAGAACGACAAAATCTGACAATCTGACAAAAAGAAAAAAAGACAAAATCTGACAATCTTCCAATAGTGCATAGCCATCTTGGGTAAGGCCAAATTCTTGTAGTCATAATTGCACACGATCAACTTCAAATTATCCTCGTAACTTGCGTTGTCCGTATACGACTTTCACCACCATATATAGCAAAGATCGAGGACCATTTTCTAATCTCAGTACTTTTCCAACTTTGGGCTGCTGATTTTTTAACTAGTCCAAACGGCCGAACTTCTTATAAAATACGGACGGGATTCCTTTAGTCAGCTCAAGGTCTTTGGCAGCACAGTGGGCTAGAGAGACGTTATGCGGAACAATAAAAAGATCCTGCTGAACTTCTGTGCAAGACGTGCATGAATTACGGGGAATGTGGCCTGCGTCACCACAATTCCAACATCTGGATTCGCGTCTCTTCGGCATCGTGTTATGAACTACTTTTCATACCATTTCTTCCAGACGTTCATCGTTTGGTTCATCTAGAGTGAACAAGGTCTGGTGACATTTTTCTTGACCCTTAGGAACTGATCTTAGTTTGAATTTCTCATTGATTTTCGTTATAACGGCTTCATCTGCTGGTTGAAAATGGATTGTATCTGGGTCATCTCCGTTCTTGTTGACAACATCTCTCAGTCGTTCTTGAAGATCTTCTTGGACCAGCTGCAGCCTTCATCCCGTTCTTCTACTTGTTCACGTAACTGTTTTACTGATAGTTGTTTTGAGTCCGAGAAATCGAACAGCGTAGGCATTTCTACGCGGTTTTTTGGCAGATAAGAAAGTAATTAGTGCCGACAAGAAATTAACTATTAAAATTAAAGCCACATAATTTTATCACAAAAATCCAGATCCGGCCTTGAATAAATTAGATTAAAGTTAGATAAGTAGTTAAAATAGAAATACTTAAAATAGAAAAAGAAGAAAAAAGTAAAGGAAGAAAGACAAAAATGGGCTATAAGAAGTTGATGTGAATAGGAAAGAATGGATATGGGATGAAGAAAAACAACTAAAATATTCCCAGAAATGACATCTTAATAATAATAAGCGATTCCCATGGGGGGAAAGGAAGATTATATCCGATATGTAGCGGGCAAAGAAACAATACATGAAGCCACAAATATTAATGGAGGAAAAATGTGCAACCTAGCATCTGCAACAAACACATATATAGTCAGTACAAAACACAAACACAAAAGAGAACACAAGATAACGTGGATAATGCCGGAAACAACGGATGTCACTCAAATAGACCATATGTTAATTAAAAAAAAAAATAAATAAATACAAACAGTACAAGATGTGAGATCTTATAGAGGAGCAAATGCAGACACTTATCACCTACTATTAATAGCAAAATTAAAGATAAAAATAATTAAATGATTTTTATCATGCTCAGATTGGCTACTTCTGTGTAGCTTGATAAATTCTATAGTAAACAGGAATTTGTTTGTTTGAGCTCCTAGCGTTGACGTCTTTATGAAAACTATTTTACACCTAACTGAATTGTTTTTTTTTATATCTTTATATTTCTATTTCTCTATTATGTAAAAATTGTCAATAAACGTATCCATTTATTTATCTATCTATCTATTAATATACCTACTAACCTTAATCAACGTTGGTATTAGATGGGAAAAACCTTCATTTAAGGCCAAGCTGATTGGTGTTTCGCCTTCAATATCTCTCTGATTGAAATTACAAATTATTTGAGCGTCTGGTGGATTTTCTATAAATTAAAATATTTTTATTAGACACAATTTGTATTAAGGATACTTACTTAAAAATTTATTTATAATCCTAATACCTCATTTATAATGCATTGATCTATTGAATGAATATGAACTGATTGTAATATAACCGAGATAAGATGGAAAAAGAAAACAGCTGTGGATTATTTACGGGTATGGACGATGTTCTAGAGTTCATAGTGAAATTCACACTAAGAGTGCGGTACGGTTAGGATGGGAATACGCATTTACCGTCCAAAAATCCGGAGATCTATTACGAGTAAAACTCGAGTAAAACTCTTTTATTTTAATTTATAATGCAGATTGGAGTAAATTAATGAAGACCGACAATAGAATAAGGATAGAAGGTAATTTCTTGCTGGGGGCAATAGTGGGAGTGGAACAGAAGCCAGGTCCTGGCCTTTGCGACATTGGTGAGAACTGAGGGGTTTGAAGCACATCGGGGCACACAGCTTGCAATGTATAATATGATTAGTTTGTTGTAACATCTGAAGTTGTCAATATGTTACGATCATTCGTTTGATATTTAAAAAAACTTTGGAATGTTGTTGTTTGCAGCAGTGGACAACCGACTAGGAAACATTTGCTGTCAAAGAAGTTATACCATTGAAAAAGGCATATAAGGATCATATTTCTCCTTAATAGCTTCAATCATTTGAAATTCAATAGAGACTGCTTACATTTTTTTCCTGCTGGTCTTTTGAAAAAACTATAAGCATCTAAAATAGTTGAACTGGCAGCGGTAATTTCTTTGCAAATTTCACTTATAGTGATAGTAAGTGATTGATAGAAACCAAGTTAAAAATATATAGGCAAATGTAATTAGGAAAACCAATCCCACAGAATAATGAAGGTAAATTATTATATATTTCACAATAGTACAAGGCAACATTAACAACAATAACCTTAAAATAACAATTATTGCTGTGGGAGTGAATGGAGTGGTAAAAATGATAAATGGTTTTTAAAGAAGTTTGAATATTCTTTAACTGAATAGGCTTTTAAGGTACCAGATACAAGGACAGCCACAGTTAATCAGCACGGTTTATTAAAAACGTACGTACTTATGGAGTAATAATTTTTATATGATCCAAATAGAGTTGTAATATAGTGATAATGATGTATAATTAACCTATTCATGTTTTAGAACATGATATGAATAAACATGAATCATATATAAATTATAATGTAAGAATAAATAACAAATAATTTTTACTCACTTGATTTTTCTAACTCGATATTATAATCGTTTAATGCAACTATACTTCTTTCTGCATTGTTTTTGACGGCATAGTGGAGAGGAGATTGTCTTTCTTCGTTTGTCAATAAATTAGGATTCGCACCAAGTTTAGTTAAACTGCATACTAAACCATCGAAATTTGCGGAACAAGCTAAATGTAAAGCAGTTTCACCTAAAATAGGATAAATAATATATATATATATATATATATATGTATATATTATATATATATATAATGTAATTTTGAAATAGGATAAAACAATAATTAAATTAATTATGATCCGATTAGTTAATTAAAACAAAAAAAAATATTTAATGAATTTTATTACGAATATGTAAATAAATTTTATGCACGACGCCAATTTTATAATTCATGTTTTCTTATCTCAGGGTTCCTATAAGAGTTCAAAAAATACCTTTATCTTCAATAGTGTTCAATAAGAGGAATAAAGGGAATAAATAAAAAAACTCAAATTTGTGCAATACAATTAAAATATAATAGTAAAATAAACCTTTTAAAACTGTTTATACAAATAATTAAATCCCTTAGAAATAAATGTTTCCCAAAACATATAGCTTTTACATAAAAAATTACAATAGAAAAATTAGTCCAATATGTATATTGTATCGTCTCAGTAAATTTTTCTCTGCACTTAAAATGATTGATTCTCTATCGAAAAAACTCCTTCCCTGTTTCTGCTTATAAAAACAGTCTTGTCGATCAAAAACAAACGTCCTGACTCATGTTTCTATCTCCTTTTGGAATTGCCCTTATCTGCTTAACTACGAATCTCTCCGGGAAAAATAATAATGCATTGGTACTTACAAATTTCGCACCCTTTTCATCCGGCAAATCAGCTTTCAAAACTTACTGACACTAGTATTTTCACAAAATCTATACTTTTACCACAGTATAAAGAGGTTCCACAGTAGAACCACTCTCTGAAAAATTGGAAGTAAAGTCTGTCAACGCGCAGAGCGAGTGCGCTTATTTCTTAGTCGCTCGAGAACCATTCTTCCGTTGCTAGTCGCGTAGAAACGTACGGGTTAACAGTGCCGTATTTTGCTTAAACTGAGTTAGTTTTGTGAATAATTGTTAGTATTGTGAAGTTGAACATGAGTAAAATTCGAAGTGGTATTAATAATCTTAAACTTCCAAATTTGTTAAATATATCTGCCGATAGACCATATTTTTATCATGAAAATAATAAAATTGTCTTTTCTTTTGATACACCTCATTTATTAAGAGCACTTCATAATAACTTCCTAAGAAACAAATTTGTTATTGATGATATTATCGTTTCTTGGGAATATATTAAAAAATTTGACGAACATGATAAACAATATACTATACGTACAGCGCCAAAATTGACCGAATTACATATATCTCCTAACAATTGTGAAAATATGAAAGTGAAATATGCTTCTCAGATATTTAGTAACACTGTTGCTGCCGGTCTGCATCTGTATATTAGATTTATTGTATTCGTCGAGGAAGCAACAACAACTGAAAGATTTATTAGGAACATTAATAATTTATTTGATATGCTCAATTCTTCTTTATTGAGAGGAGCAACTGAGTACCAAAGACCGTATAGAGGAACCGATGCTTAGCAAGAATTTCTTAATGCGTGTTTCCGATTGTTTAATAATTTACAGGTAATTAATTTTAAAGCTAAAAATGTAACACCAAGAATAAAATATGTTAATGGTTGGAAAATAACCATTAATGGAGTGATTCATTTGTGGAATCTACTACAGTCACATGGAATGGATTATTTTTTAACAAGGCGGATGAATCAAGATTGGCTAGAAACCTTTTTTGGTTCAATCAGGCAGCAAGGTGGCAATTGTGTTAACCCTACTCCGGTATAATTTACCGCAGCATTCAAAAGATATTTTTGTTTAGACATGATGCATTCCGGTACAGAAAATTGATCACTGTATTTACTTATAGTTTAAAAATGGATTTGACTAGACTATCTCTGGCAGACATCCTGACAATGCAGATGCTTTGTTGATCTGACTCCTCACGTCCTTACTAGGACACAATTTAACTTGAAAAAAATAATTTTATTACCGTTTCGACTTCCAATTCGGACGTCGTTGTCAAAATACAAAATAATAATTTATTTTTGTATTTTGACAACGACGTCTGACTTGGAAGACGAAACGTTAATAAAATTATTTTTTCAAATTAAATTGTAGCTTATTTTCGAATTAGAATAGTTGATATTCGTTTATTTTATTAAAAAATTGTTAAAAATAAGAAAGACGAAGAGAATTTTTTTTTTATTTAAATTTGTGGCTAAAAATCACCACAAAACATCTTTTCAGCAGTTTGAATTTTAATTGATGTATTCTTGCACATTACGCAAAGACTTGACGAAAAGACTATTGCTAAATTTAATTAATTTTTTGCAGACTACAACTAAAACTAAACGAATAATGCAGAAAACACAAAAAATCGCCGATATAACCAAATTCACCTACGAAATATAAATAAGGATAAAATTTCATAAATGTCAAAATTTCATAACAGTGGAGTAAACTTGCCTGCCGTTGGACGAATTATAAACAAGCGTTATGACGCGGTAAACTTGAATTACTCCTCCTGGTTTAAAAACAGAGTATAGTAGTAATGCCGATGCCGTGAGAGCTTCGAAATTAACCTCCTTTTTATTTAACGTTTATATGACATGTACAATATATTAAAAACCATTGAGATTTTAAAACTTGCGCAATACCGTTGATATTTAAAATACCGTTGAAAAATATTAACAATGAATTATAATATTGTTTTTAATTTATTAAACCCTTTGTTTTTGTAATATTAACATTTAGTGAGAACATCTGGACAGTTAAATATGGGAAGCCGCATTTTTTATTTAAATAAATTAATAGTAGTAGGCTCAGAAAATTTTAATACGGCTCTGTAAGGTTAACGGTGGTGGATTACCAATTTCGTACTTTGCCGGTATTACTTCCTGAGATCAAAGTGCCGACAGACGAGTAGTTTTACTGTGGAACCTCTTTATACTGTGCTTTTATAGAACATCCCAGAGGTACTTTTCAGTGCGTCACAGTTTTTTGATTTCTTTCTAATGCATTAAGTTGGATGTGACAGAGAAAGCGGTAGTTCGGTGATTAAACAGAACTATATTGCAGCGTTAGAATAAGCTTACATACATAAGCGGTTCTTTCCTAACCTACGTTTGATTCGTTGATATTTAGATGCGCGCTTTCTCTAGCCAATCAAATACGCCTATTACTGACAGTTGACGTAAAACTTCGTCCATGCTGACCATTCTTTCGAATTGTTCCAACAGAAAGTGACGGCTGTCGTTCAGGTCAGTATTTGCAAAGAATATAGACGCTATGTAATATATTTATATTCTTTGGGATTTGTATTGTATAATTTTATTTTGTTTTACATAGTATTGTGATTGTGGTTTTATTTGTATTTCTACAAGATGACAAGATATACGGAAAAAGAACAAGTTTTAATATTAAAATTACTTAAATATTTTCAATTGGAAAAGGAAGCTGGACAAACATTATTACCAATTTCTGCTGTTCGTGAAGTAAGTTGAAAATTACCCTGAAAATAAATTTTTTTTATTTACTGTTTATTTCAGCGTGTTGCTGATGCGTTAGAAATTTCTTTGCCAACCATAAGGCGATTAGCAAATGAAGGAATACAAAAAGATTCTGATTATTCCAATAAAGTAAGCGAATCAGTAGCCACTAGTTGTGAACCCAACTTGATTTTAAATAAATACCAACATACCATTAGGAGTCGTATATACGGAATGTTTAGTAAGGGTAAGTTAAAGTCTCTATGTACATATACATATATATCTGTCGCTTGGAATAAAAACACAACATGTAAACTCCAGTAATCAGCCATTGTTTGTATTTGGTCACATAGTAACCACCTTTGATTGTATTTTATAAGCTTATTACTCAATACACATCAATATACTTAAGTTAATATTGGAATATCACTATGTTTGAAACAATTTGTATGCTAGAAATATTATAAATACTATAAAATAAACGGAAACTTAATGCTTCTCATTCACTAATTGTAGAAGAACCATATGATTGTTGTATTTCTGTTTAGTAATGGTAATTAAACTACTTATCCTTATTTTATCTATTTACACCTTTATGTTTTGAAAAAGGTAAAAGCCTTAAAGAGATGGACATCTGATTTTTTTTAAATGAAACTATCTCATGTCCTTACTATAGAAATGATATTAACCTAAAATCCAGAAAAATTGACATCCGCCATTTTATTCGAAGCCACAGATAATATATAATTAATAATAATATAGTTAAAATATTTTATCATATTTCTGTTATGTAGAAAGGCAGGAGCAACTAACTTTTCAGATACATTTCTTTTAAAAAATTCTTACTGACAACTAGTTACATAATACCTATATAAAATATATAGAAGTAAAAAGTGATAATAAAAAGAATACAACTGATATAAGTACCAAACTTCTGTGGTAAATGGGTAAACTTACTTACAATATTGTAATAAAGATTTAAATCCTTTTTGCTGAAGTTTGTCCATTTACATCATACATTTTAGGAAAATATATAGATCTATTTTTATAACTCTTACACTTTGAATTATTTAAATATGCTTACTACGATTTATGAACGGAGTACTGTTTGTTGCATATTCCATTTAAATAGATAAATTCCAAATGTTACAATTAATATGTTACTTTACATTCCAAATATTGTTTCTAGAAGAATCACTATAGTGTCTTATTAATTTTTCTTTGTTCGTTTTAGGTGAGCATGTAGGTAACTCTCTATACTTTACAACAAAAGCTCGAGGAAGTGGATGAGGTTAAAATTTCGATTTCTGCACTTCAGAGAGTTTTAAAAGTATTAAAATTCAGATGGGTGAATTGTAATATTTCAAACGGGAAGTATTTAATGTAGCAAACACATGTTATATTCAAAAGACTCCAAAATTCCAAATGCAAGTTGGACCAAACATTCTTTATTGGAATGGTTGACAAACCGAAATATCAAATATTCAATATCTATGATGAAGTTTGAGTTAATGGCTATTGTAAAGAAGCATTTACCAGATAAAATATTTAAGTACTTATTAGAATTTATTTATTAAATGGCATTTTTATGTAT